CCTCTTCGTTTGCTCTTCCCGGACGCGTCTGCTTCGTTATCGCGCTCTCGCGGCTTACCGTTCTGAACGAGAACCCAACCCCAGAGGGGTTTTTGGGAAAAAGCGAAAGAGTCGGTTCTTCTCTTTGCAGGTATCATAGAAAGATTAATCGTACCATGCGATACGATTGTTGTTATTAGCATTACTTTTGTTTGTATTAAGATCGGACTTCGTGCCCTGGTTTCTCTTTGCTTTGTTTTTTTGTTGTGGCTCATGCGGTCGGACTCCTGTGTCCTGGGTTCTTGGTTTGCTTCTCATTCGGTCGGACTCCGTCTGGGTTCCGGTTTGCTGCCTCGTGCTGTCGGAGCCCTGGTCCTGGGTTCTTGATCTGCGGTTTTGTCGTGTTTCATGCGGTCGGACGTCGGACTCCTGGGGTTTTAGTTCCCAGGTGTCTCTGCTTTTGTGTCCTGCGCCCTGCTTCCCCTGATGTGTCGATTTGTGTCTTTGTGCTCTGCCGGTGTGCCCTAACTCTAAACTAAACGAGACGTTGAAGCCACATACGGAGCTTCACACGCAGACTCGCGGTTCTCATGTCAAAGAGGAGCTGCTTTTGCTGACGGCAGGCCATGCGCTGGGAGTACCTCGAGCGGACTTTCGCGGCCTGTGAAGATAGCGATGGAACCGCCGCTCCCCCAAGAAGTGCAGGAGACCGGCACTCCGACGCCCATGTTTCGAAGCAAGAATGGCAGGATCCCTCCAACCCTGAACCCCAAACCCGTAAACCCTACTCCCTAAACTCTTCGCCCTAAACCCTAAACCCTAAACCCTAAACCCTAAACCCTCAAGGTCCCTCGAAAAGAGCGGAAGAGCTCCGATTCCATGCCAGACCCAGGCATCCTGCAGTGCGCGGCAGCTCCAGGCGCTGGGCGCCAAGCGCCGGGCCTCCCAGGATAGATCCATTGACTCCCCAGAGACTCCAATACCCCTTAATTAAGGAATATGCCTTAAATTATAGGGGCCTTAATGTTATGATTTAAGGTATATTCCTCAATTAAGGGGTATTGGAGTCTCTGAGAACTCCTGTCCTCTGAAGCTCACGCCAGGCATTCTGATGCAAAGGGGGGGGGGCTTGGAGTTCGGAGTGCCGTGGCGAGGCTGTGTACCCAACAACTTCACTGCATTCGTCCTGTCGGAGGCCGCAGGGCCGCCTTCCGACCTGGACGCCTTCTTTGGCCGTGTTTGTTTGCTTTAGCCTGAGAGCCCCGATCAAACCCTGCACTCTACAATGCTGCCCTGAAGCCTCCTGAATGCCAAAAGCAACAGATAAAGTTACACTAAAGCCCCCCAGAAGCCTTCTAAACCTGAAGAAGCCCCCCAAATAGACCCTCTAAGCCCGAAAAACCTTAAACCCTAAACCCTAAACCCTAAACCCTAAACCCTAAACCCTAAACCCTAAACCCTAAACCCTAAACCCTAAGCGGCGCGAGGCCAACAAACCTCGACCGTGGCCCATGGGCCTCCGAGGCGGAGTCCAGGAATTTCTCGGATTTCAAAGCCCCTTTCAAGGTTTGGGGTTCGAAACCCTAAACCCTAAACCCTAAACCTTAAATGCGAACAGACTTCGATGCCTC